GAAGAATAAAATGACATGAAATGAACAAAACATAACATGGCATTGCAAATGATCTGTAACAGCATCATGAAATGTTTTCACTCAAACTACACCATGAGGACATTAATATTAGACAACATTGCATATCTAATCAATTTAAGACTTTATTATTATTTTAGTATCATTAAGATAATATTATAGTTTTTAATAATATTTTGAATTCGTTTCGACTATTATATTTTAAGTTTTCCGTTCATTTTAAAGTTTTGGTAATTTGTACTATTTCTATATAGTTTTTTTATTAATTTTATTTGCTTGTTTTAGTTATTTTAGTACAAGCTAAACTCAATGAAAATGAGAAATAGTTGCCTTGCCAGCTGAAATAAAACAACTGTGATTTTATATTATATTTTATTTCAGTTAACAACACAATAAAGCAACAAAAATGTTTTTATGGTTTTAGTTTTAGTATCAGTTAACTAAAATAGCCATGATTTCAAATAAGTCATTCGTTTATTCTTTATTTATTCAAGTTGTGCGATTAAAAGCAAAACCTCGGTTATCATGAACGCTCTTGCAGGTTTGAAGTGATGAAGTGTCTCTCTAATGGCAGAGAAACTGAAATCACCAGCAACAATGATTTGCGGGTCTCAAAATTCAAGACGTACAAACTAAGACATTTTCACAAACATTCAACATCACAACCAGACAAATCAGACGCAGATCAGCCGAACAATAAATATGTTAATAAACGGATCAAGGAAGCGACAGTGGTCACCTGACGTTAGCTTTAAGATAAGCATTAGCTGTAATGCAGGCCTATGAATTCGCAGTTATTATGCGAGATATCAGCGAAAACCCGCAGCCTTATGACTATTACTGTTTGAGTTTGGGCTGATTTGTCATGTTTCAGATGCATGTAATGCAATGGTGGATTGGTGAAGTTAAATGTTTACCTGCAGCTCTTCGCTCAGGATGAAGGTTCCCAACTGAGTCCGCACTGAATATTTGTCGTACTGAAACACAACGTAGACGTTATAGTTCCACATAACATACAGGGATAAACCTCATGACATAAAAGACGTGTGTAAAATTACATGTAAACGCATTCTGTGTTTTATATACTGATACTTTAATGTAGTTTATCAGAGGACTGCGATATAGAATTAATAAATAATAAATCTGTGGTTAATTATTCATTTATTTGCACGAAGAGAGATGCATGTAGTACACAGTCATGTTTCAGATGCATGTAATGCAATGGTGGATTGGTGAAGTTAAATGTTTACCTGCAGCTCTTCGCTCAGGATGAAGGTTCCCAACTGAGTCCGCACTGAATATTTGTCGTACTGAAACACAACGTAGACGTTATAGTTCCACATAACATACAGGGATAAACCTCATGACATAAAAGACGTGTGTAAAATTACATGTAAACGCATTCTGTGTTTTTATATACTGATACTTTAATGTAGTTTATCAGAGGACTGCGATATAGAATTAATAAATAATAAATCTGTGGTTAATTATTCATTTATTTGCACGAAGAGAGATGCATGTAGTACACCCATTTCACCACAAAGGGCGGTAGACGCCGCGGATTGATTCAGCTACTGGCGTTGCTCTCTCCCACGTCCTGTGCAGTAGGCTGTGTGTATTTTTACCCTGCTGCCATTTTATAGGCTAATCAATAGGAATTGTCAACCACATCAGTAAAACCTAGGTCAGCTCTGACCCTGTCACAAAACCCTTACCAAGACTAAAACCTCTAAGATCCTGTTATTATCCAAAAAACCTCCCCCCTGCAATAAAGCCCTCTGAAGTAGAGCCAGAGTAATGCTGTGAGTCACTGTCTTGACCCTTACTTACTCTCTCGACCTCTTTAGGGGACTGTAGTCAACATGAAACAACATTCACCAACAAGTCATTTTACATCAGTAATTTAATATATTTCTAAGTGAAACAATGTATTCAACATGAAAAGTGTACTGTAGGGTGGGACTTGATTATTATCATCATGATTTAATTGGATTGTAAAAAGTGGTTGTTCCATACTGGAATAGAGCAACTGTGAAGGACTACTTCCTTTTTCCACTTTTAAACCACCTTTGAGGAGGCTTTTTCACCAGTCTGAAGATCAAGTTCACCTTTGGTAGTATCTCTTGATGTATCTAAATGGTAAATATGTTGTTATTTGCCATCACTGCCGTGTGACCTTCATTACATTAGATTACATTAGATTACAGCATTAACTATTGGGGTAACACTTTATTTTAAGGTGGCCTTGTTACACGTTACATGTACTTACTATTATAATAACAATTAATTATGCATAAGTACATGCAAGTAACCCTAAGCTAAACCTTAAACCACATGTAGTTAATTAATATTGCTCAGCACTTAAATGTATAATTACACTGTAACAAGGACACCTTAAAATAAAGTGTAACCACTATTGGCTTTTTAGAAAGGCTAAAGCAGTGGCCTAAAACATGCCTAAATAGCCATTTGCTATAGGTTAACATTTACATTTTACCCAGTGTGGCCTATAGGTGACATCAGCTGAAAAGGAAATTTGTTTTCAGAGGTGGAGGAAGTGATTATATTATGATTACTTCTTCTTTTTTTTTTTTTTTACATTTTGGTATAATGTGTGAGTTATTGTGCTAAATAAGATCAGGAAAGTCTATTAAGACATTAAATTCAATACAGTTTTGATTTCTTGTCAGTATTCAACAACAGCAAGGCAGACATTTTCCTTAATAGAAAATAATATATTTCTCTCACTTTCCTTGTGTTTCTCCTCCAGTCTCTCCCCTTCACTTTGTTACTTGCATCACTGATCTCATTTACTCACATATAGGCTCTCCAATATTTGGTATTCACTTCTGGGAGTGTTTTAAGGGGCAGCCGTATCCAAGGCAACCCACCTAGTCAATTTCCCAGTGTCCTGTCATTCATATAGGATGCAATATGATGTGCTCATGGAATTCAAATGCTTGTCACACAGCAAGAGGTACCAAGAGAAAATTCCAGCACATGTTTGTGCATGTGAGAGTGTTTCTGTTTATATTAGACAGACCAAACATAAAAAACTGTTTGACTATTATGATATATCAGTGATCATTTTCTGCTTAAAACAGGATTGTTTCTTGGCTCGGATTAAAGTTCAAGACATGTTAGATGTTGGGATGTTGTATAATACTAATGCAGTAATTTTTTTTGGTACTGTATAAAGCAGTATATGTGGATGTTATTAATATTACAAAATGGAATACATTAAGTAGTGCAATGTTGAATTCTGTTCTTTTTCTCTCAATTTCATGACAGTCTTCCAAAACACTTTATTCAAGGTTCAAAGTCCATTAATGAAATCCAGATTTACAGTTTAAGGTAAGACATAGTCACACGATTCACAAGGTTTAAATTATTAAAGGCAGGATTTACCATATGTAAAACATGAACACAAAGCATCTATTCTCTTTTATGTATTTTATGACTGTTAACAACATTTGAGTTTTGTTTGAGTCTCCTGGCGAACCGAACTGCGCCAACATATGCACAGATCTCTGGTTCTGTCTCTGTCATGTGGTGTGGGTCTGATCACATTTTAATTTGCTCCTCTTCTCTCTGTTTTTGTACAGTACTTTAAAGCCTTTAAATCATTTTTGCCATTATTTTATTTTTCATTTTTCCATCCTTCTGAATGGAGGCACTTCAGGGCGGGTGCCAAACTTCTTGGCAGTCGTGCATCTGTCCGTGTGCAGGAGAAAATAGCTGCCGTTTCAGTCCAGTAAAATAACACACCCTTTGTGCCTCCATCGTTCCCAAGAGAAACACAGTGTTCATCATCCTATGGGATCTGTTATATTTTGGGACTTTTGCTTTGGTTGATTCATTTAAATAAATCTCTCGAAAATAATGAGTGACATCAGAGACAGAATTACACCCTATTCAAATATTTTAAAAAAAAAGACCATGTACAATTTTTACACTTAAAATGCAAGACAATATACACACAAAGCACAAAAACACAAGGAAAATAAATATCATGAAAGATAAATAAGGAAATACATTTCAATACAGTCTTTTTAAACAAAGAACATTTTAAGATGCTCCCTAACTTTGGAAGATTTGTCTTTTGTTCATCAGAGGATAATTTGGGGACACTCCCTTGCCCTAAAAGATTGGTCAAATATGCTTAACACAGTCCTCAAATAATCAATTCGTTTTTAATATTAAAGTAAACACTTCTTCTTGACCACACCTATTTCAGATCATTCTTAATTTACTTAGCAACAGTCCTTCACATGATTCAGATACTAGCTTTGTTCCAAAACCTGGTGAGCTGCCTCATTGCCTACATAGGCAGCATTCTACTTGTCAATGAACTCATTAAGAAATTAGAAACACTCTACAATTCTGGACAACACACAAATATTCTTGACATGCAATCAAGTTTCCAATTAGCACGTGAAAGCACACATGAAATATTTGGTAAGATAATATGTTTTTAATTACACTACTGTTCAAAAGTTTGGGGTCAGTAAGATTTTTTTCATGTTTCGAAAAAAAGTCTCATGCTCACCATCAATTTGATCAAAAATACAGTAAAACAACTAAAATAACTGTTTTCTCTTTTACTAAATTTTTAAAATGTATTTTAATCCTAGGATGGCAAAGCTGAATTTTCAGCAGCCATTACTCCAGTCTTCATTTTCACATGGTCCTTCAGAAATCATTCTAATATGCTGATTTGGTGCTCAAGAAACATTTCTTATTACTATCAATGTTGAAAACAGTTGTGCTGAATAATACTTTTGTGGGAACAGTGATACCATTTTTTTTAATGAACAGAGTTCAAAAGAACAGCATTCGTTTGAAATATAAATCTTTCATAACAATATCTTTCCTGTCACTTTAGATCAATTTAATGCAATTTTATGCACAATAAATGTATTAAAAAAAGATATTGCTGAGCCCAAACTTTTGAACAATCTATATGGATATACTTCTTTGAATGAATTGAAAGAAATATAAGTTGATAAAAAAAAATTCCCATCTTGCATGTATTTTTGAGCTTGTTGCTTGACAATGCTGCCGCATACAGGCAGCTCATTAGGATTTGAAACAAAGCAAATGTCTGTTAACATGATGTCATGCATACTTGAATGTATTGTGAATATACTGTATATTGCATGTTTTGTTGTATTCTTTTGTTTTGAGCAGCTTTGTAAACACCTGCGATTTGTTCTATGCGCTCCTTGGCAGCCTCTGTGCTGAACCCTGCATTCGGCTTCGGTTCTTCCGCCCCCTTCCTTTCTCCTTCTCTCCCCCTCCTCTGTGCCTGTGCCGGTCTGCTCTCTTTCTGTCCTGTTTGTTATGCTTGTGATTCCCTGATTCCTTGTTGTTGTGATGCTGACTGAGTTCTTTGCAGTGTCGCTCCAGTTTGCCGTGGTTGATCAATGCCATCACATCCTGGTACCATGGCTGGGCGGAGACAAATGTGGGGCTCCACACAATTAAACGAATAGTAACGGCTGTCCAGCGGAATCCATGTTCTTCTAGCTGACAGTGATAAACGCCGCCGAGATTGAGCTCAGCCCGGGGAATGAGGATGCCCATGTCAATGACAACCAGCTGCTCCCCAGATGTGACCTGAAAGAAAGAAGGTTCAAATTTAAAGACATCTCAATATTTGATAATGTTTTGAGTGTGCAGGCATGAGTGTGCATGTACCTTATGTTGCTCCAGGCTGTTCTCGCCTATGTCTTTAAACCAGGTGACTGTGGCATGGTGAGATTTGGGTAGGCACTCCAGGTAGGTGCTGTTACCCATGGCAACAACTAATGTCTTCACCTCTGCCTCCACCTGAAGACCAGCTGAATAACAATGAATAGAATAAGAAAAATGTAATGAATAAATAATTTAAATGAAAGAATTTCAATAAAATTATAAAAAATAATAATAACAAATATTATCATTACTACTACTACTACTACTATCATTACTATTATTATCATTACTACAGTTCAAATTAATTGCTGGCCTATATGCACATGAACATGCCATTTCTCACATAATAATAATATTTTATTATTATTATTATTACAGTTTTAATTAATTGTTGGCATTTCTCACATATTATTATTATTATTATTGCATTTTTCTATTGTTGGTCTATGTGCACACATAACATTTCACACATAATAGAAATATTTTATTATTATTATTATTATTAGTTTTAATTAATTGTTGGCATTTCTCACATATTATTATTATTATTATTGCATTTTTCTATTGTTGGTCTATGTGCACACATAACATTTCACACATAATAGAAATATTTTATTATTATTATTATTATTAGTTTTAATTAATTGTTGGCATTTCTCACATATTATTATTATTATTATTGCATTTTTCTATTGTTGGTCTATGTGCACACATAACATTTCACACATAATAGAAATATTTTATTATTATTATTATTATTAGTTTTAATTAATTGTTGGCATTTCTCACATATTATTATTATTATTATTGCATTTTTTTTTTGTGTTGGTCTATGTGCACACATAACATTTCACACATAATAGTAATATTTTATTATTTTTGTTAATGATAATATTATTACTAAAATATTTATTTATTATTATTATTATTTCTAATTATTATTATTATTCACATTTTTTATTTAATTCATTGTGCACATAAACATGGCATTTCACACCATGGGCACGGCGCTTTTAAGATTGAATTACTTTAATTGTAAGTGTTTTTCTAAAGGCACAAATGGTAAAAGTTTATTCAACCTTTAATAAGTTTCCACCCAGATTTAATGAGCAATGAATGAAATCGTAAAAACACATAAATAAACACAAAAATGACTGCTGTTCCAAAGCAGGATGTTTAGCAATTGTAAATGTCTGGTTGTCTGTGTGTCTTACCTCCCTGTCTGACACACTGTTTCAGCAGGTTGCCGTCATCATTAACATGACGAATGTTTCTTCTGCAAATAGGGAGGAATGTTTCAAATCAGATTTATTTCAGATATACCAAATACCAACGCGTTTCGGTTTCAGTGTACTGGAAACTGCTGATGAAATGGATTCTATCAAACAAGCTGCCCATACAAGTGTGAGATGTGTGTCACCTGCGTGCAGTTGGCATATAAGGGCTGCAAGAGTGGCCATCCCAGGTGCAGTATGGGTCTCTAGCAAAAGAGCATTCAGCGCAGGCTTGGCCGTACAAATCGCAGTGGAACAAACCCAATTGAACCACACCCTCTGCTGATCCAGCAAACAGCCACTGCTGGAGACAAAACACACACACACACACACACACTGATATGGGCTGTGATCCTGTTTATTGCTTTTTTTTCCAGTAAGCAGGAAAGCTGGGCCAGAAACACAAATATCTAAAAAAAATCACATTCCACACATCACAGCTCCAGAATTACAGAGCTCTTTCCATCCCAGTTCTTCAGGTTTCAGTGAGTGTTTCATGGAAAAAATGTGTAAAAAAAAAATAGAAGTTTCATTTTAAATATCTTCCACCCTCTCGAGTTTCCATGGCAACAAGATGGGAAGGTTTATAAAAGTGTGTCGGTGTATCTTACATGTATATTCAAGTATGTTTGTATGTATGTGTGCTTCCACTGATAAACATGGTACCTTTTTCTTGGACAGCGTCATGGCAGTGATTGGTGACTTGTTCTGTTGAGTGACAGAAGATGAGCAGTTAATGTTTCAATTTCAAAAGGTCATCCCAATGAATCTGGAATGTTAAGCTGCAGAAGTTTTACCTTAAAAACCTGCAGCTGTTCCAGAGTGATCTCCTGATTCTGTCCGTTGGCTTTAGGGAGGTGAATCACTTTCAGAACCAGGCCAGAATCTGAATACACACATACAATACACACAGTATTTAAACGAACTAAATGGACGTCACATCATTTCCATCAAAAATTCAGCATACCTACAGTTTACTTCAGTATTCACCACAAACACACACCTGTGCCAATGAACAGCACGTCATATTGTCCATCCACCGCCTGCACTCTGTCCACAAGGAGGCGGGTCAGTTTATAAGGCACGCCCACTCTGATGAGCAAAGGATGACCCCCAAGTGGATTTACCACTTCCTGCATTAAAGGATGTTTGCGGCTAAAGAAGATGACATCATCAGGATATTCCCTTGTTGATTTGAACCCTCCATATGTGCTGCTGGGACACTGAAGTTTGACAGGAAGTTCAGTATTATGGTCCAAAAATAATAATTTACTGTACATGATTTTAGAATAACATTTTTATACTGTACATTATAACGCTGTAATGCCTAATTGTATTTGAACACTCACTGTGCCGGGTCTGGGATAGGGAACTTTGCCTGTATACTCCGTCCACTTGTACTGTTGACCCTCCCTATGAAGGAAATTTCCTTTAAAAGCTCTAATAATGTCTTGCATTCTGTAAACGCACACAGCAGATCCATTCAAGACATTGCTGTTGAGAGAGGAAACAAACACACATAAAAATAGAAACATGAATTATTAATTGATTGAGATATAAGCAGACAGCATCAACTAGCAATCAATCACAATGTATCACATCAACAGAATTAATCTTATTCAGTTCCCCTACATGTTTTTGGCCAGACTTAATTCCAAATGAAACCAAGCTCTGGTGGCACAAATGAAAGTGGCACTTCAGTTCAAGTGTGAAGCAAGTCGGCAACAAGGCACGGACTCTTCAGCAAGGGTTAAAATGTCATCTGATCTGACCCGAATTGAATTTGGGTCTGCCTTGAAAGCTACAGTTTTTACAAGTCTCTGAGAGAATAAACACACTCAGTGGAACAGCTTAGCAGAGAGCAATAACACTGTCATTCTTTCCATACAGCTTTTTCTAAATCCATTCTTCATTGTGCACTCCACCCAATGCAACCTTCCCCAAACCTTAGGCAGACACACACACATTTTCACAAACAAAGAGGAAGGCATATGCTATTTGAGATGGCTGATGTAAAATTGGTTCAACTTCTAATGTGTTTTAAACATCATGGGTGCATTATTAATGTCATCTTAGACCAGTTGGAAAGTATGACTCAGTAATACTGCAATTTTATCCACACCCTTAACCACATAGGCACACACAGGGTTGTCATGATGTGCACATTGCTCTTTTCAATACAATTAAAGTGAAGAGTGACCAGGGGCCATCAAGCTTCAAAACAACAAAACAGCATCAAAAAACACTACCATTACAGTAGTAAACTTGACTTCTGAAGCCTACAATAGCTCTGTGTGCAGAAATGTAAGTTGTTGTGTGAAATGTGAGTTGTTGTGTTATTTACTGAAAATCATATATATATTTACAATTTGCATATTCAAATTTAGTGACTCATGATTTGTTACAAGTAACATGTGACCCAATTAAATCAGCATCATGACAACAAAAAGCTTTGAAGATTCATATTTGAATATAGACTACCATTTAAAAGTCACCAAGCCTGCATTTATTTAATAAAAAATAAAATAAAACAGCCATATTGTAAATTTTTTTACAATTTACAAATAAATTTAAAAATAAACACACACACACACACCCCCCACACACACACACACAATTTATTCCTATATATCAAAGCTGAATTTATTACTCTTTACCATTACAAGAAATCATTCTAATATGCTGATTAGCTGTCATTTTTTATCCTTGCTGAATAACATTAATACAAATAATTTCTTTCAAAAAGCTGTTTTGAAAATTTTTGTTTTGATTTCTAAATGTATTATTCATCTCTATCAACATATAACAGCTTGAATTTCTTGTCTTTTTCTCAGATCTTTTGTAAATAGCTTTAGAAGATCTGGAATATAGCACATAAGATATATAGACAAATTTGATGGTGATTTTTGTCACTTTTGGAGCTTGACAATCCCTAGCCAGTAGCCACCATTTAGTTTTTTGTTTGTTTGTTTTGTTTTTTATGAGGAAGAGCAGCAACAACATTCCACTAAACATACCTTCTTGTGTTTTTTGCAAAGAAAGTCATATGAGTTTGGAATGACTTGAAGCTGAGTAAATTATGACTGAAATTTCCTTTTTAATGTCTGCTCTTATTTCAGCTATGACTTAAGTCTCCAAATGTGATTTATTACAGTCAAATGTTTAAAAATCGATACCAGGTCAGTGTGTAAGACTCACCTGGTAGTGGTGAAGAGCCCATAGATGAGGGGGTTCTTTTTTTCCTTTCCACGCTGAATAAAAATATCCTCTACAGAAAAACAGAAAACAGGTTTAGAATATTAAACATGCCTTGTATGCACTTTAGTCAATGCTAATGAAAAAGATTGTGTATGTATGGTCTCTGGTTTCATCTCAAGGCTGTATCATGAAAATTATATTTTCCTGGTCACACTCTCTTCCTCATTCAAAAAAACGTGTGTAACACAGCATTTTTGTGGTTTCACTACTGTTTAAACAAATGTAAGGGGGTCTGAATACTTTCCGTACCCACTGTATATCTACACAAAGAACTTGTGCCGTCGGAGGTAGGCTAGTTCATTTCTGCATTCCAGCCATGTGAGATATAATCAAACGCCTTATCAACTCAAACACACACGTTAAGATGGTGGTTCTCAACTGGTCTCAACAATAAGTGACGGCCCAAAACAATACATTTTTTAAACTATAAAACTATGTAAATTACCATTAACGTCATAGGTTTAGATCATAATTTATATATTTAGCAAGGACACATTAAATTGATCTAAAGTGACAGTAAAGAATTTTACATTTTTACAAAAAAAATTCTGTTTCATATAAACGCGGTTCTTTTTAACTTTCTATTTATAAAAGAATACTGAAAAAGTGTCAGTTTCGAAAAAAAAAATTTAAACAGCACAAGTAAGGAATGTTACTTGGGCACCAAAACAGCATATTAGAATGATTTCTGAAAGATTTTGTACTGTATTTTCGATCAAATAAATGCAGCTTTGGTGAGCATAGGAGACTTTCTTTAAAAACATTAAAATATCTTAGCGACCCCAATCAAAAATACAGTGGAGTTTGATCAAACTCGCAGCCCTTAGCGACAATAAAAGATATGGGGCACAACCCACCAGTTGGAAACCACAGTGTTAAACATTCTTGCTACCGCAGACACGCCTTTGAAACATGAGATAGATTTACTGACTCTGACAAACTATTAAAAACTGAGAACATAAACTAGATCAGAACTATAAAATGGTTGAAACCTTTATTACACACCGCTCTGGACTACAACCGCACATATAAACACAGACGCTCTGTTTTCCCCTCCTATTCTAGACACAAACCAACAGAATCCCTTTAATTAAGCATCCACTCTCCCTCTTTCCCTCTCAATCCCATTACTATCTCTCATTTCTGTCCCACCCCTCACCCCCCATTCCCTGGCTCTTCTTCTCTTTCACTTTTGCAGGGATGCTATAGTTGTGTCAATTCCATCCAACAAAAGCTTTTGTTCTCTTTGAGGACAGATAGTTTTGTCTGCCCTGCACTTGTTGACACTTCTCTATCCTGCCCCTATCCGTCCTTATCCCTCCTAACCTCCGACTCTCCTGCTCTCCTCCCTTATCCTCATCCCGAGTTAGCCAGTAGACTATGTGGAAACAGGATGGGGGTGCCACCGTAGATGTGAAAATACACACACACAGATACTGGTGGCCTTCAAAACATTCAGCAGACCACCAAGACAAATGGCATATGCACTGGCACACTCATTTTAAGATACATTTATCATCATGAGGTTCAAATGTAAAACATTCAGGGTGAACTCAAGAAAATTAGTTCAATTTGTGACAAAACTTCTAGACAGGCAATAAAATGCATATAACCATAAGAAATTATTTCCTAAAGTACTCAATATGTGTTAAACATGAAACTTTTTAGAGTCATAGAGATGTATGTAAATATCAGACCAGACACAACACAAATTCAGCTCAGCTTCAAAATCAGAGCCACAGAAACTGGCAGCATCACCTCCACACACACAAACATTATCTAAACTTATTTACACCAGACCATGACGCATTCTGGAGTACTTTCAATCTTGCATACTAAAACACACGCCAGTCAATTTTTTCTTTAAAGATGTAAGCTTCATCTGTTCCATATTTCACAAGAACAGAATTCACATCATTCTAATTCTACTCTTCCAGCAACCTGGCAGTTCTCAACTCGTATCATCAGTTTACGCATGTTTCTTTATACAATCTATAAACTCACTATTCCTGACTAACATTCACTGACTGCAGTGTGGTCTGGCCCATCATAACTATGGCAACATGAGGGTCCCTGATGCAGGCAGAGATTATGGGAGATGTAGTGGTTTAGGGGCCATGGAGCACAATGTAAACAAGACAGAGAAGATAATTCTTATAGATTACCACCATAGGGCAAACGAACAGCTAAGATGAGATGCATATTAGCATTAGAGCATGTTTACATTATAGAATCATCAGAACATTTCTACGGCACAAGTAAACATGAAAGTGTTAAGAAATCAAAACAAAGCTATTTTGCATGTTCTAAATACTTTGGTAGGCCAAGAAATAAACACATTTCACAATTCTCTAACACTTGAACATAACTGGACATGCACTGAGTTAAACAAGTTATGTAAACTCAGCTGTTTAAAGATTGCCATGCCGCTGGACAATGAATAGTTCTGTTCAGAGCCGCTTGCAGATTTGATAAAGTTGCAGTAAGATATGGAAGCCATTCTTGATTTCAGATTATTGCTGGCTGTGTTTTATATCGTATTTGGGTGGAATCGTTTAGGGGACATGCTATCTTCAGTGCAGTTGTCACTGATAACTGAGATGAACATTTCAATATGTATGCTCTGTAATGTGTATATCTTACAGATGTAATATATGAGTATGAGACTACAACTACAGTAAAACTTCGGTCAGAATGAGGATTTAAGAATTGTTTATTCTATGCGAGGTCTTTGTTTACACAGACTGATTGATAAGAAAATGGTTTCTGTCTGAGTCAGTGTGTGGTGTGTGTGTGTGTGTGTGTGTGTGTGTGTGTGTCTACTGATAAACTTTGTTCCATAAATCAGGGAAGTTTGAGCATATGACACACACACACACACACACACACACACAAACACACACACACACACACACACACACAGAATCAACAGTATAATTTATATTCTAAAAAATTTACAAGGTTATCTCAAAGCCTTATTTAATTTGAGAGATTTGCTTAAACCTTGATTGGGTAATCAAGTGGGATTGAAATGTTTTTTTGTTTGTGGCATTTATATGAAGGTGTGTTTATTACTCACGGAGTTTGTCAAAGTGTGTCTGTATGCCGTCGGGTCCTGGTACAGAGCAAACAATACGAGCTTTCTGAAAGGTGCTCCATTTATGAACCAAACTACGCTGACCACCAATATCATTCTAAAAAAGAAAGAAAGAGAGATAAACGCACTGATGTAGTACCATAATATCAGTTTTCTCTAACAAAAACTACCATGGTACCATGGTATAACTATGATTATATATATATATACATATACATATACACACACACACACACACACACACACACACATACACACACACCATGGATTTTTGCACATGTACTCTGTTAATACCATATTTTTCAACATGTACTGTACCATACTAATATCACATTTTGTTTTTTTTTTGTTTGTTTGTCTGTTTGTTTGTTTTTTTTATATATACCATGCTAATAGCATGATTTTTAGACATGTTCTTTGATGTAGATGTAAATGCCCTGGTACATGGATATGGTAATCATTATTTTCTATGACATACATGAAAGTACCAAGGCATTACCATCTGATACCGTCAAGTCAAGTCACCTTTATTTATATAGTGCTTCATAAAAAACAGATTGTGCCAAAGCAGCTTTATAGTGTTAAACAAGAAAATAGTGTTTCAGTAAAACAAACAAAATTCAATTCTGCTGTTCATTGTTGATTCAGTGATGTAATCATCCAGCTCAGTTCAGTTTTCTTTCAATATTATCTGTGCAATCAAGTCGACAATATTGCCAAATATTAAGTGTCCCCAGCTAAGCAAGCCAAAAGGCGACAGTGACAAGGAATACTTTTTTGTAAGTTTATTAATAATAATTTTGCAATATCAAAAGGACAGAAATCCAACCAGTCAGAAATTTCTATAAAAATTTGTTTGGATCTCCAAAATAGTATCTATTTTTATTTCTATTTAGATTTGTACATACTTTTTTATTGTAATACAAATTAAGTATATTTTATTAAAATAACATTTATTTTATTTCTGTTTAGATCTCTATCTAACAAGTAAACAATAATTCTATTATTATTTTATATGAAAATGACAGAAATCCACCAGAGGAACAGTCAGAGACATATCACCCAGCACATCCTATCAGACTCAAAGAGGTGGGCATACAGGCACAGGAGCCACACAAGTCCAGTTAAGCACGTAGAAACACACTATTAGATACCTTGCAGACGCGGGCGACTCTAGAATAGAGGACCTTCCCAGCAGCCCCCTCTGCCTCCTGGGTGCGCTCAGTGAAGAACACATAGACCTTATCATCCTCCTCATTATCACTCTCTGACATCTCTGCAACATGTACAAATTCAGCGCCTGGAGAGAGCGCGAGAGACAAAAATACGGTTAACTAACACATACATCTGTTATTGTGTAAAAAATATGGTTGCATTTTCTTGTGTTTAACTGATAGAGCACAGTGCATCCTTAATTGCTGTCAACAACCTGGTGTGTGTATTTTTGTAAGTGTGAGTGTAAGTGTTAGAGCTAGCTCAGGAATATGTGTGGTTGTACACGCACATGTATCACCTTGCAGCCATGTGGAGTCGTATTGTTCAGTGCGAATCACATGTCGCTCCCCCAGACTCCGAATAAAAGCGGTATCATGACTTAGAAAGTCAGATGAGATGCCAGCGTACAGCTCTCCGTCTGAACAAATATGCACAAAGATTTAGATCAGAATTAGAGTTACACTGGCATGTTCTCACACAAAAAGATAAATTACACACAAACTATAAACATGCTGTCTTACCTATGATGGCAGTAGCTGTTCTCTGGTGAGGGTCATAAGGACATTTTCCCTTCCCTGATTCAGTGTCTTCATACTGCAGCATTTGTTCCTCAGCCTGAAATTCCCATTACATTATTTACAGTTCAAATCATTAATTTTTGCCTATACACAATAATCCTTAAGGATGTATTGTTCTGTATGAAACATTTTTTTTTTCATTAAAAATCTAATTTTTAAATTTTAATAAAATTATATTTTTTTCTGTTTGGATATGTAACAATTTATTTTATAATATTTTTTAATATTTTCTATTATTTTAATAAATTAACATTTTATTTAAATTTATTAGAAATGTATTTATCAGTAATATAATCCTCATAAAATTGTATAATCTGACATTTCCTATTCTATCACCTGAGACACACATAGTACATGATGGATGCACAGCAAACTACATTATCCCTGCGTTCCATTCGGAAGGGCTCATCCCTATGCCCTAATCCAAGGGTAGGCAAGTTCGGTTCTAGAGAGCCGCAGTCCTGCCGAGTTCAGCTCCAACCCTGAAAAAAAACTCACCTGCCTATAGCCTTAGTAATCCTGAAGACATTGATTAGCTTGTTCAGGTGTGTTTGATTAGGGTTGGAGCTGAACTCTGCAGGACTGCGGCTCTCTAGAACCGAACTTGCCTACCCCTGCCCTAATCCCTTAAAAGGGTTTACCCTCCGGAGTGAGAGCTTCGAAGGGTTGAAGGGTGTATGGGACCAAACAACTGTTCCTTGAAGTGCCCTTCTGCCTCATCATCATGTGCCCACACGGAGGCGCCGTCATCATGCAAAGAATCTGCGCAAAGGATCATGGGAGCCATCAGTTGTACCCTTCGAAATCCTTAATTCCGAAGGGCCCTTTGAAGTGGCCAGTTTTGAGCACTTTGGTTTGGAACGGCCTTTCAATATGGCGGCCATGATTGTTTTCACTCCGAAGTGCCCTTCATCGTTGCTTCAGTGATATATCCCGTTTGGAACGCACCGTATAAGTACACAAACACAACAGGAAGAGTTTATGTGAGAGAGGTGCATGCTGGGAAATGTAGTCCTTTACCCTGAAGAAAAGGTTGGTGGGGATGAAGGCACAGCGAGGGTTGAATGCTCCAGTCCCACAGGCGTAAAGATGTGTTTGGTTATACAGCTCTAACACACGCAAGAAGTTTGCACAGTCCATCTGTGACATGAAAAGGAAACTATCACAATGAGGATTTAATTGATTTTGTTTGTGATTAAACACTTCAAGAAAAGCTGTCTAAACAAGCTGTGTTTCATAAAATTGTGTTTTACCTGCAGGTTTTTTCCAGCCATGATACAGTTCTGGATCTGATCTGGACTTGCAGGCCAGTATATCTGAAATACAGCACACACACAGATGTGAATCTCTTCTGGTGCACAAGTGTGCATAAAAGCTCCTCTTAGTCATATTAAATGTTGATGCATATGCTGATTTCATCATATAGCATGTGAGGAATTACAGTTGGATGCCACCCTGGCATTACTCAGATGAAATCATTATGAATACACACCAAGTTATGTAGACAAGCAGGGATGGGCTCACACACACACACACACACACACACACACACCCACACTTACTCACACAAACAGCCACAGATACACTCACAGGGCCTAATTCATGCAACAAATGTTTGTTTGAAAACCAATCATACATAAATTGTGTTTTTCAATTTCAATGAGAATGGAACATGTTTTTTAGCCTGGGACAGATTTCATAAGATAAGAATCTGCTAGTAAAAGCTTTCTTGTTTGATACTACAACGTGTTTGGGTGAACTAAACTATCGCTTTAAAATTTTTGTTATTTACTACCTTCAAGTTGCTTTCTTCTGTACAATGAAAGTGAATGGTGACCAGGGACTGACTAGCTCCAAAAATACCATAAAAGTACTATGACATCAGTTCATTTGATTTATATGATATATTCCAAGTCTTTTAAAGCCATATGATAGTTTTATGTGGAAAACAAGTTGTTTATGATGGTTTTATGGTGATTTTTGACATTTTCTGAGCTTGACAGCCCATGGTCACCATTCACTTTCATTGTATGGAGAAGAGCAGCATGAACATTTTGTTAAACTTCTCCTTTTGTGTTACACATAAAAAAGACAGTATATAATGACAGAATTGTACATTTTGTGCGAACTGTCCCTTATTTAAGAATATGTAAAATATATATGTGCGCATGCATGTTTGGGCGTGTACATACCTTGCAGGGGGTTTGTGTAATATCATCCAGGCTGGTGGACAGCAGATGGTCTTTCATACCGATGTAAAGACGACGACCATCTTCATCTGGCAACAGAGAGTTCAGATCCCCAGCGGGCACAGACAGAGATATGAGCCTGCCGCTCCGCATCAGCTCTAAGAAAGAGAGGGAGAGATAGATAGAATGTGAACAGATTATTTCATAGATTTTAGAGTTCTGCATATATGCGGCATTGCCTCTTTCCATCACAAATCCTTTATTTCTGACAGGCCAATAAAGAAAATGCAATTCAGCTTTATTGATTTTATGGGAAAGGGAAAAAAATTGTGAAAGAGGGTTTCTTTCTTCCATTCAACAGAGGGTGAATTTCTGAAGAATATGAGACTGTTAAGCTCTAAAATTACTAAAATTACCATATCATAAAATGGTCTACAACTTGTGATCTATGTCCCAAGTCTTCTGAAGTCATATGATAGCTTTGTTTGTGGAACAGACTGAATTTGAAATTGTTATTCAGCGGAAATAACTGAAAACTCAATGGTACAATGATCCAGTTCCATTAGTTAAAAGCCCACTAGAGGAGAGGAGTATCAGATAATTAACATCTCTTTCTTACACAAAGCAATCATATTACTTGGAATATAGTGCATCATTCAGATGTAGTATTTCACAAAGCTCCAGAAGCAACTTGTATTGTTCAAACCATCTCCTTTGTACTCCATGGAATACAGAAAGCCAAGCCACTGGTTTGGAATAACATGAGGGTGAGTAAATGATGATAGAATGTTTATTTTTGTGGATGAACTATTTCTTTAAATACATTTAAAGCGGTCCACCAGAGTAACATTGTATTCTGTACTTTTCCTTAACACAATGAACTCATATAAACTCATATGTGAACCAGACACTCTTTGGGCAGAATAACCTGTTCAAAAATATGAACAGTTGAGACAGACAGAGATAAAATAACGCGTCAGATGAATGGAATAGACAAAAAGATTGAAAACATGCCATGAGAATCATAGGAAATGAATAAAATACAGTGAGAGTGCAGCAGATAATATTATAATACACCAAAAATCCAATGCACACATATCATGTTAGTTGTTCTGTAGATTTGCATGTTTATCACTCCTTTAAAATATTCTCTCATTCACCCACACACACTAAAAAATTTCAGCTGTCACGATGGACATGCACACAATCTGTCACAGCCTGAAACCTCACACATGCATTCCTGGCCCTTACTTAGTGGCACCATTGCCCCCTTGCTGTGGCAACAAGGGTGTGTGTGTGTGTGTGTGTGTGTGTGTGTGTGCTAAAATTACAGGATTACAGGCTGGTATTCCACCTGCCTCGAGTGTGTTTAACAGGAAGTGAGGGAGTTTTTATGACTAGGTGGTCTAGAATCTGGTAGCCCCAGACTGTAATCAGTCTGACTCATGACCTTTTTAGCCATAAACTAAATTAGACAAACAGTGAGACATTCTGATGGTCTTACACAATTAGTACAACTACAACTGTCATTTTTCTCTCTTACACACACACACACACACACACACACACACACATATATGATTATGAACACAAAGTGAGTCACAGACCCTTCTATCCATCATTCTATGACCAGGGTATATTTAGCCACATACAGGCCTAGTGCTGTATATTTAACCACCACACACAAGCTGTGAGTGTATATCTGAACATTAGATTACCACAGTCATGAGAGAGACTGATGTGGGATTACACGATTAGTGCAAATATGTGGTGTGTGATACAGCTAAGAAACATTATACATATACATCTACATGAGGGCATGCGCGCCCTATAGCAACAACACAAAATATATATAATATATACAGTTTTTATGATTAATTACTATTTCAGTGTCTGCGTGATAGTGTACAGCGCTTCCTGTCCTGTAGGTGTCATAAATAAAATTTTACCTGATCTGTGAATGTGAGCTACCAAAAAAAAACTTTTAATTAATTTTCTTTTAATGAATAATTACGAGGATCTCATTTGAATCAGTCTGAAACACTGTCTTGCAGAGTTATGTTAACTAAAACTATTCAAAATCATTTGTCATTAATTTAAATAAAGCTGAAATAAAAATAAAATAGAAATATTAGATACAAACTAAAATAAAGAAAATTAGATATGTTACCTTTGCATATAACTAAAAGAAATAAGTTGAAGTATACAAAAATTACTAAAAACAAAACTGAAATAAATATAAATGGACATTATAACTGAATATACTGAAATATGGAATCAAATGGAACTGATTCAAACTAAATCGAAATGGGCATCAAATCGAGAGCATGTGAATCGTAAGTGGATTGTGAAATTTGACTCAAAAATCTGTTCACAAGCACACACCTCTTATACAATAAGTGTGGATGGAAGTATGTTAGGGTGTGTTGGCCACAACTTTTCCCATAGTGCTACTGGCAGACAAGAACAAACAGTACACACTTCCTGTGCAAATTGAGTTATCGGCTATTACTGCTCAATCCACCAGTTGGCATGTTCATATGTGTGTGGTAGAAATGTTAACAGGTGTGACTATAAGTCTGTGAACACAAGGCCCAGAGCTCATGCATAAACACACAGACAGCTAAAATAAACTGGGCAAACACACACTGCTGTGTTCTGGAATTTCTCAACTCTCTGTCAGTCAGACCTACTAACCATGACCTATGACCTGGGCTGAATATGAGTATACATCATAATTATAGCACTCAAATGCACACACTTGCCAGAGCTTATGCTTAATTGATTGATGCTGTTAGTTATAATCACACCCAAAGGCCAATCAACTGCAAAGTGACCAATCTTAACAGACCAGCTGGAAAATAAATTTTATAGAACTGCTGGACATATTACTGGATATATGATTTCACTTTTATCCAGTGGCACAAAATCTCAGTAAGTGTGTGTGCGCTACTTAAGAGCTGTCATTTATCATCTCATTAGGGAAATCAAGCCAAAATGAGCTGGATAATAATCAACCACCAGCCGTTCCCTTACACAAACACACACTTATGCTCTACCCTTTGGGAGTCTGTGTGAATGAAAGGCTAATTGGGTAATTAAGAGATCCACATAAACACAACACACACATTCATACGGTTTCATTAAGATATGTATTACCCCTAAAACTTTCTAAAAAAATGTCACACATAAACATACACAGACTCTCTCTCTCTCTATCTTCTCTCACATTCACTCTCAGTCGTCGCTGATATACAGAATGTATCTGTGCAGGGTTTTCTAGGTCATGGAGAAACACACAACCAGTTTCAGTCTACACAATGTCACACGTGATATACCCCTTTCAAACCACGGCTGATTACAGATGGCATTAGGGTAATTGGGTTTAAAAGAGAGAAAGAGTTTGTGTGTGTGGAGCAAAGAAAGACTGAATATTTAAGAGATTGTGGGTCCACAAGGATTGTACAACCTGAAATCTTCTACATAGTGGGAAGAAAATAGCTTAATCAACATACTAAATAATGTCTGGATTAAAATGTTAAATGCAGAAAGGTTTGAAAAAAAACACACACCAAGAGCTCAATAGAAAAGCAATAGAAGTCAATGGAAAGTCAGTTGTCAGTGCTGCACTATAAACTATGCAGACCAACAGAACATTAATTAAATTAATTATGGTAACACGGTACTGCATAGTGCATCTTTTGAATGACCTTCTTAATTATTTAAAATTATATAGTATTACTTTATAATAATAGGAATTATTATTATTTTATAATGACAATTCTTAATATTATTTAAATTGTATTAACTGTATTAATAATAATAATAATGATAAAAAGAATACAACCTGAAATAATTTACATTGTGGGAGGAAAATGTCATAATAAACATTCTAAAGTCATGTCTGATTTAAAACATTAAATGCAGAAAGGTTTGTTTAAGGGTCAGAAAATTGAAAATGCCAATACCTCAACAGAAAAGTCAATAGAAAGTCAGTTGCCTCACCTGAGTGTTGGAAGTGCAGTCGTGGTTGTGATGGTCTCCATGCATCCGTTAGAAGCGCTGCCAGTGAAATTAAGCAGAAGAGAGCAAGCATCCTCTTCATGGCTGTCTGACACACACACTCATGCGACTCTAGCACGGAGTAAACACACACACTCTCTCTCTGTGTGCTCTGTTCAGAAATATCACACACACAAATGGTTTCTACCTGATGTCAGCATCACACACCTCAGCGTAAGTGTGTGTGTGTGTGTGTGTGTATGAGTGTGTGTGTTTGCAGTGCAGTGTAATATAATCCTGCTCAGGTCAGTGTTGCAGCAAAATCCTCTCTTGGTCTGGCTTCTGTGTTTATAATATTGCCAGCTGAATTTCTCTTCTTCTGCTCATTCTCTGTTTTGTTCACTCTGTTATTGTCTTGCCCTTTTCATCTCTCTGCATCTTTTAACTCTTTATGAACTCTCTCTCTCTCTCCTTCAGTTGTCTCTTATCATTTACTCCTTTCTTTCAAACACTCCCCTGCTGGGAAGGAGGGAACTGTCCCAATTGTGCCCACCCTTCTCTCGCTCTCTCTCTCTCTCTTTTTCTATCCATCTCTCTCTCCCTCCTTCTTTGTGTATATCTTGTTTTTTTAAGAATAAGACAGCTACTGAATGTGACTCTCTCTTAGGATTTATTTGCTGATTTGGCTGTTGAAATCTCATGTTGGTTTTCTCTCTTTTCATCTCTCACCCTCACCATCTTGTTTATGTGCACACACACTCAACACACTCCAATTAAATCTAACAGTATCAGAATTAATGGTAGCTGAATCAGGTCACAAGATCAAAAGAATAAGAAAATGAGAGAGTGAAAACCCGTATTGCCCCCAGGCAGACTTCACAGCACACTCACACTCTCTCGCTCTCTCTCTCTCTCTCTCTCTCTCTCTCTCACTCACACACACACACACACACACACACACACACACAAACTCTGGGAGATCATAGTTCTTTAATGTATGAAAATATCACGGAGATCGAGACAACTGTGTGGATTTAACGCCCTCTAGCGAATAAACGAGGATTATTTTTTTAATACACCACCCCTCATTACAAGAAGTAAAATTGAGACAATTATTGAATAAGTCGCCACAGTGTCACTTTAACCCTGTACAAATTACACAGAGGGTGCTTGTATTATCCTGAAGGGGTTTATTTTGTGATAGTGACTGATCAACTTTGTTCCGCTTATTTCCTGGCCCCTTTCTTAAAGCTGCAGTCCATAACTTTTTTGGGGGGGTTAAAAATGATCTGAAATCAATATATGAGCAAGTGCATAACTAGTCAGTGTTCAAAACTATCGCCTTATTTTAGTCAGTTTCACAGCGGTTAGCTTATAATAATGTTTTCTAATTTGAGTGGAATCCGGGTAGGTTTTTGCGGGAAATTCGAGCATGCTGCTTCGTCATTACGTCACGTCTGTAAACATAAAGAAGTTGTCCCGGGCCGGCTAGTAGGCTATGGCATGTGAGGATCCTGCAGGTGGCAGACGGTTTACAGCCTTTCCTCACAGCAGCTAGAATAATTACATTTATCATTTTGATGGTGGATTGTAATCCAGAAAGTATTATATGTTTATGAAACATATGTGAATGCAATTAAATTATATTCCAATTTTAAATGTGCTTCTGATTACAGATAGCCTAGAATTACACAAGATTTGTATTTTAAAGACAACCAGTTCGAAGGGAGCATAATTTGCTTTTTGAGTTAAAATAATTTCTTAATATGAAATTCGAATGGTATGACAATTAGAGATTAGACTGTACAGAAATTGAAATCCACTCGCTTATACACACTATATTCACGTAATGCTGATGTTGTTAACATTAACAATTTGAGAATAAAGTATAACAATAATAATAATTAGCAAGGTTTGATGTAATATGAGCTAATTGGTTGCGCGATTTATTGTAATGCTTTTTTCCTCAGTTGGTCAGAACAAACGTGGCAGACTTACTTAGCCTACTTGTTCAGATGACAATATACGGTGAAAAATCTTATTTGGGACATATTCCAAGACGTAGGCTAGAATCTGTGATTGCGAAGTACAGTAAATATCCACACCGGTGCGGAGACTGACTGCCACACATACGCTTCAGAACATTAGATTCATCAGCGCTGGAGGCGAGCCGGACCACAACCCACACAAGGAAGATAATTCCGCAAACAGCTGCAATTGCAGGTTTTCAAACAGAGATGGCGACAATGAGGCAAAACTTATGGACTTTAAATAACTTACATAGACATGAAATACTGATTTGAGTTGAAATTGTTGTATTATCCTACTTGTATATTAAAGTGCACACAAATAGAGCAACATCACACAAACAGAGCAACAACTTTACAATATTAGCTGATTTAAATCATTTTATATAGGCCTATTCATCCGCATTCAGGCTTTTTATTTTATTTATTTTTTGCTAAAATACACAAGCTACCAATATAACCGGAAATTTTATATTCCCTCTTATCCATGTCTCTTACCAGTTTCTTGTTATTCTGATGTTTTCTTGCTTTTCTACCTGAGCTTCTATCCATAGTGTCGAATGATTACCATTTATTTAGCATGGAAGTATTGCCAAGGTATTTTAAAAGAACTGTGTTATTATAGCGCATGTCCAAAAGAGTATGGAATAGTTTTGTGTTTTCTTGGTGTAGGAATTCAGGAAAAGGGTCAGCGTCACCTCTCTCTCTCTCTCTCTCTCTCTCTCTCTCTCTCTCTTTCTGTGCTTCCCGCCCACACACGTGCTCCCCTCTGCGTTCTGATTGGATGAGCAGGAAAGCGATGAGCTCATATTGGTTAAAAATAGCTTCACGCGCTGGGGCTAAAAATAGGCGCATATATAAACCCCGGCGTTTGAGCGAAACTTGCAGCACTTACGCAGCAGTAGCGGTGTAGGTTGAAGCTCTTCGAGAGATAGAGAGAAAGAGAGGGAGATTGCGAAAGGGCGGCGGTCCCTTTTCTCTCGGTCCCATGTCACGGCGCAGTCTTTCACAAGACAGACAGAAAATGCAAAATGTTCAGTTTTTCAGCCAACCCGGGTCTGGGTGTTGCCCGCTGGGGCCTGGGGGTGGGGGCTGCATGAGCATTTCCTTCCTTCCTCAACAAGTCGTTTTTTCTCCATCTTCAGTTAAATAAAAGCAGGCTTTTATATCCGAGAATTATCCACTACACTGTCATTAATCATATTGGTAAAGATGGTTTGGAGAATTTCATCATGCTGTTCTGAATCTCGGATTATCCAGTGGGTGGCAACTCAAAATAATTCCAGCTCCTCTTCACTAAATGTTGAATTAGAAAGCTCTCAGTGTTAGCTGGAGTGCAGAGGCTTAGTCATCAGCGTAAAAACAGAACATACTGTTCATGACAAAACGAAAGCAGGATTTCCACTTCTGTTCAAACTTTTTCATTCTAGTCATGTGAAGCAACTGTCTTGTCACCTATTAAGCCTTCATGACCCCCTAAGGCTCATTTTCCAGATAGATTCTATGAACAGATTATATGTCACCAATCTACATTTTGTTGGTGTGTAAATGGTTCCTGATTTTACACCAGGAACTGACTTGAGTTCTGTATTGTGTACATGTGTATAATAATTGGTGATAATGAAACAGCATAAATATCTACTCCACTTTTGCTGAAAAAAAATTCATGACCCCCTAAGGCTCATTTTCCAGATAGATTCTATGAACAAATTATATGTCACCAATCTACATTTTGTTGGTGTGTAAATGGTTCCTGATTTTACACCAGGAACTAACTTGAGTTCTGTATTGTGTACATGTGTATAATAATTGGTGATAATGAAACAGCATAAATATCTACTCCACTTTTGCTGAAAAAAAAAGTCATACGATAGCTACTAACTGTGTTAGGAATGGACCAAAATGTCATCATTCACTAATAATCTATTAATATGATGAAATCTATGGTACAGACTTATGAACTCCATGCACAATTGCTTCTGCAATTAGCCTTGATTATCACTGCAACGACCAGTGCAGCACAATGTTTAGAAATTATGAGTAAACTAAACAGAAAAATTACATATCAAGGATGTGTCACAACACGACAGAGACAATATTGATGCAATCCACCTTTGCTCTAAATGTATTTAAAGCTTCTAGATCTCATAACTAAAATGTTGTTTTCATATAATGTACTAAAATATCACATTTACTATAGCTGAACATTTATTAGAAATAGAACAAATAGTTCTCTACTACCCGTTTGCTAGGTATAATACTGTGCCAAATTTTAGCAGAAATGCATAGGCAGGAAGTGTGCATGGAGTCCATTGATGTCTCTGATTAACACATGCTTTTATTTCATTAAAAAAAGAGAAGTGTGAACATTCTTTAAAATGTCTACACTTTATGAATAGCAGGTTTGCAAAAAGTAAATAACAAGTGTATTGTTTTGGTGGAGGGGAAACAAAATGTTTTTTTTTCTGTTAGTATCATTTACATTCTGCTATTTTCTGAAGGTTTACACATGAATCTGATCATTCTCTCACATACACACACACAAGCACAGGGTTGCTCTTTATAGAACATCTTTATTACACAAGATTACCAAGTCTAGTTTACAAATAGTTTCCAGTCCTGAATGCGTGTACATATAAATACACACGTTCATATGTACAGGTATGTATACACATCAACCCCCTTACCCACCCCATGCCCCTTTTTTGCTTTAAAAGAGCTATTTTGTACTTTTGTTCTAAAATCCCAATCTTGCCCTGATCTAAAAGAAAACCATAAAATTATTTATACATACAGAAACAATCATGTTCAGCCCTGTTTCATGTTGCAGAAAAAAGCCCAGCATATGAGGGATGGGCTGAAGTATTGATTGGCAGCTCACAGGATCACACCTGTCCAATCAGCCAACAGGGTCACATGACAGCATTTGGCAGCTGGGCAAGCTTGAATGATACCACAAATTCAGGTAAAGCATCAAAAGAAGTCCCATTTGTCCAAGTTCTCTTAAATACTGATAAACATCTCCATGACTAAAAATATAAGACCAAAAGGGGGAAAAGGGACAAAACAAAGCTTTTTTTCTGGGATCTCTGTCCCAAAAGCATTTGGCGAATGTGAGGGGGGTGTATGACTATGTAAATAGGAGTGTGCCCCTCACACACACACTTTCTGAGGCCCAATACAGGCAGAGTCCAATGGCGAGTATTCACAGCAGACTGCATTTGTTGCTCTTCTTTCCCCTGCGTGCCTGCAACGCCGCTCTAGTGGCCATTTCAAACACCTCCCGAACGCCATCTTTTGTTTTGGCTGAGCACTCCATATAACCAAATGCTCCAATCCGATTGGCCATGTCTCTCCCTTCCTCTGCCTTAACAGGCTCCTATTGGACAGTTAATACAAAATATGCTTTCAGTACAAAATACCTTGATTTTGTCTATGCCAATTGTATAAATGATCAAAACTGTACATGTTTCTTTATTGAAACAAGGAAAACTAACAACTAATTAACTTAAAAACATCCAGTAGAAGAGTGACAGTAAACATGTATTTCCTGTGCAAATACTCTGTATATGTTTACCTGCTTCATCTTGGTCAGCTCCCTGCGTGTGTGTTCATCATTCCGCAGGTCCTTTTTGTTGCCGACAAGGATGATGGGAACGTTTGGGCAAAAGTGTTTCACCTCGGGTGTCCACTTCTCTGGAATATTCTCTACACAGAGGTCAAAGATCAAAGGTCAATTCTGGAGTTTTAACACCGACTGGAAGTCAGCTTCATTAGAAAATGGGAAAGAAGGTATAATTTGAGCATGTACATATAAGAAAGGTATATAAACAATAGACCAAAGAGAGTATATTTACCTAAACTGTCAGGACTATCAATAGAAAAGCACATAAGAATGACATCAGTGTCTGGGTACGAAAGCGGACGGAGCCTATCGTAGTCCTCCTGTCCTGCGGTATCCCAAAGAGCAAGTTCCACCTATTGGACAAAGAGACACACTGAGCTCAAACATCCCAAACCACTTAAAAAGGACAGATGGAGGTGCCATCAGTATGTTAAGCTAAATAAGGAAAGTGAATCAGGTCAATATTTTCACATTAAAGCCACTTCCAAGAGCTCCAACTGACAGGCAAATACTTATTTAGCCTATTAAACTAGGTTTTGGGGTATACTTGAACACATGGTCCTCCAATAGCCAATAATTTGACCTTAAATGAGCCAAACTTTATTGAGAATCTGCATTTAACAACCCATTGTTTTTTTAACCAGCATAAAATGATCTCAGTGAGTGAAACAATTACAAACAGCAGGAACAATGAGATTTATACACATTGTATTTCTCAAGTGTGTTTTGCTCACCTGTTTGCTGTCAACCTCAATGTCGGCGACATAGTTCTCAAACACCGTGGGGACATAGACTTCGGGAAACTGGTCTTTACTGAACACAATAAGCAAACAGGTTTTACCGCACGCTCCATCTCCTACAATCACCAGCTTCTTGCGAATTGCTGCCATACCTACAAAAGACACACAAACACGGTTAAATACGGCAGCATTACGCTGGCAGTCATCTTTGCAGCAGCAACTGTAATTCATTTTTCAATGTCACTTCCTGCAGAATAAAAACTATAACATGAACGATGCCATTCGTGGTAGTCCTCTACCACTATAAAGTCCTGTAAATACACACCAACCCATCCCTCAGGCCCAGTAATCAAAGCCACACAGGGTTCAGAGACTTCAGAGTCCTCAGTTGGCTCATCACAGCCAACGGTGACATCCGACAAGCCTTTACCAGAGTCATTACAACATGACTACTGCAGAACCAACCCATCCGATCGCATCAGAATGACGTGACACTTCATTTTCTGATCCAGAACAGCTGTTTAGATCTGGAAGGGTCTGTTAACTGGGCCAGATGTCTTTGAAGTGCAAGCTGCACCCCAGTGGCCAAGATAAAGCTGGCAGCTACAGAACAGAGCCCACATTATTGATGAACAGGCCCGTGGTGATGAGAGAAGCTCAGATGGACAGTAGATTAAACACTGACACACAGACAGAGCAGCAAAGCTGAAGATCAAAGTCTAAAAACCAGCAGAAGAGACAAAGCCTCAGCACTAAATATCAACTGTTGGTTCTGTCTTCCATTTGACCCACTATATTAAAATGTACATTGTTGTAGTATATTCTCACCCCAACTTCATCATGTCTACCCAAAAGGTGACACAATGTGTGCATTATTATGAGATGCTGTGCAGGCTGCGGGCCTGGGTAACAGGCAAGAATACTCTACACCTGAAGATGAATCTGATGTTTATCAGCACCTCCTAAACTATTATTCTCATATCCTCATGGAAGTCAACAAGTCAAACTTCATTGGGTTGCCTGTGGGCACATGATTTTTGGGACCTCCCGGTAACTGCATGGCAACAGTAAGGTTAGTTAATTATTCAAAGTGTTACAGATTAGTCTGGATGGCACCTGTTGGCTCAATGAAATTTAATTCATGAAACAAGAACTTTCAGTATAAAAAGTCTGTAAAATCACTTGACACGAATATTCATATTGCTTTATGAAAGATTTACCCTTAAATGTCTTCTGCTCATGCCGTCATGGAAATTGTAAATAAGGCCCAATGGGAATTTCAAACCACTACATGGGATTATAGACCCATATTAATAGGAACATTAATCACTATGACTTCTAACAGTCACTGGGAAAATTTCATGCATCAAAACAAACGACTGTTACTATATCATAGCTAACTGAAAAAAATTATGCTTGGGTCATTGTGTCTGACTGCCTGTACTGTTGTTTCCAATAAAAATAAAATTTTGTATGACATATTTGACATAAACGTCTCACCTGAACACAGCTAAACACAGTTTAAGACTGAACTAAAGCAAATCATGGTAAATGATCAGAATAAAAAGATAAAGTTCTTTGAGCTATCCAATAAAACAACGCCAAAGATTAAATTTATACATTTCAAATGTTCAATAATCAGATAAATCACAGGTGTTAATAAAACATTCACCAATTTACATTAATCACAGTTTATGAATCCTATGCTTCTTTTCGATTTTTAACTGTATTCATTTAAATAAATATTGAAAATCACTTAAGAACAATTAAAGTTATAGGTAGATAAAATCAATAATCCTCCAGTTACGTCTAAATCTGAGATTATGCGCGTGTCTGGGTCGAGCTTTAGCTCTCCGCTTTAAACCAACAAAGACAAACCACATATATAACTGTTACCGGTAATATCGAATATATTCACCACCAAACACTTGGGTGTAAACTTTACCGCTTTCCCCACACATTTCAAAGGTCTCTTCTATGTGTAAATACCTAGAAATATCTTTGAACGGTTTTAAAAATCTGGACGCCGAGGGTGAGCAGCTACTCCCGGCCGGCGGTTGCTTGCGGAAGCGGCGAATGGTCAGTCGCTGAGCCCTTACCTTTCCACTATATCAAAAAAGTAGTTTTAAAACAACAATTCAGCGGCGAATTGAGCTTATAAAGTTTATAATAGCTGTATAAACACAGAGACGTGAAGAAAAAGTAATCTTACTTGCAGTTTAGATGGCTGGCCGTTTTGATTTATACCAACGGTGGAGCTCAGTCGTCTCTTCTGTCCGATACAATAAACCGTTGACGAGCACGCGCGGCGCGCGGGCATTCAGAAGGGGGAAGGGATTGCGTGCACGAGCTCGAGCCACGCCTGCGCGAGCACGTTGAAGACAGTTTATTTGGCGGTGGACGAACGAGTCGTTGAGAGACGGACCGCCCTAACCACCTCGAGGCAGTTTTGTGTTATATATGAAGTTTTAACAAAACTAAACCTGTGTGTCGTTCATGGAACGAAAGGGGACTATTATCTAACCAACGTCCAACGTTTTCCAGCCTCAAACAACCCCAAACCGTATAAGCATAATGTTGGATACAGTTTCTTTGGAAAAGGAAACTCTAAAAATCAAAATAAATCACATGAAATGTAATTAGCATCAAATGTTATGTTTAAACTGAACATAGGACTTCCCTCAAGCTAGATGAGCTGGAATGAGGAAAAACGATGATGGTGCGTTTGTTGCGCCATCTATCGGCAAATGTGCTGCAATACAATACCTTCAGTCCAGACAAACCCACCCGTTAAAGGAATATTTAACCCAAAAATGAAAATGTAATTTACTCACCATCATGTTGTTCCAAACCTGTACGACTTTCTGTGGAACACAAAAAGAGATGCTAAACAGAAAGACAGCCTCAGTCACCATCCACTTTTGTGGCATATTTGTTGCCTCAACATCTCACTGCTGCAGTAAGTCAAATGGCTGAGTGATTCAGGGTGAATAAATGACAGAATTGTGGCTAGTTATATATATGCACACACACACACACACACACACCTTTATGTTTGGGGTCAGATTTTTTTTTTAGTGTCATTGAGTGTTTCTGTTCTTTTGAATTTTGTATTCATCAAAGAATCCTGTAAAAATGTACCAGTTTCCACAAAATATCAATCAGCACAACTGTTTTCAACACTAATAATAAATGTTTCTTGAGCCACCAAATCAGCATATTGATTGACTGAATGATTTCCGAACATGTGACACTGAAGCAATGACTGCTGAAAATTCAGCTTTCACATCACAGAAATGAATTACGTTATAAAACATTAAAATAGAAAAGTTATTTTACCCAATATTACTGTATTTTTCATCAATTAAATGCAGCCTTGCTGAGCATGAGACTTCTTTCTAAAACAAAAATCTTACACGCCAATGAATGATATATACACAGAGACATAAACACTAACAAATAATGTGAATAACAATGCACTCATCGACTTTTTTGAATCAATAAGGTCCTCTGGGACAGGTGTGCTCTTCATTCAATTTTTATTACAGATGGAGAGAGATAAAAAAAACTGGGTTGAAATAATCAGAGAATAAGACTGTGAGAGAAGCATCAAGACAGACACCTAGAAACCACGAGAAAACAGATAAACAATTAAAAACTGCAAAGAAAAAGAGGTTATAAAATATTAGTGAACATTTCAGGAACCCTAATCAAAAATCTCCAGAGAAGAATATGCATTAAATGAAACTCAAGTCACATTGTGTAGACAATCTGTGTTTTATAAAAACAGGTCCATTATGCAAGCTCATAATTTAGAGTGCAGCACTCTTATCAAAGCCAACACATCAAGACAGATCATTAAAGTACAGATGAGAAAAAGGGTACAACGGGACAGAATCAGATTCTGTATTGCTATTATCATTTAAAACTATTCTGAACGAAAAAATCTTTGAAATTACTGTATTTAATCCATTCATATAAAATGAATGTATGTAATCTCTCCTCGCTATGCCACCACCTATGAAATCAAAATGACTGAAAAGGAAACCAAAGAGCCGCATCATCAATGAGAGCAGAACCTTAAATTAGAGATCACGCTTTCTTTGAAAAGTTCAATTTTGCATAAACATTCTTCATCTTTAGCAATCCCGCCCTTGATGTTCCAGACATTCTTTTGATGCTGTTAACATCAGTAAAAACAAAAAAAAATCACATCTACTCAAATATAAGGAATCTTGCCTTTTTTCCTGATACAAGACCAAAAAAAAATAAAAAAGAGGCAACCCATAAACATTTGTAGAGTCTTCCATGCATTTAAAAAACTGAATCCCATCAACCATTAGAGCATTTATTCAGAAACGGTACTTCCCAAAAAACCTTACACAAGAGGCCAGTGAGAGAGAAGATATTGTTTTTACAAAGCAAAAGTACTGGAACACTGCAGATGTTGTGTGTCAGACTAGTCCAGGGGTTTTATAGAGCTGAAAAACTGAGCTTGTATGTCTTTGTCATTTCGTTTGGGTAATGTGTTCATTTGGTGGCAACTCCTCGTTTGTGTATGTAAAACATCCCAAGATAATGTGTGTGTGTGTGTGTGAGATGTCTCCAGTAGCATTTGTGACTGTAAGGGTAAAGTGAACTCTGCAGGACAAAAAGGAGAATTGTGTGTTATGAATGGGTCGGAGCATCTTCAAAACTTATGATGCTGGACTCCTGTTGTCCCGTAGGATTTTGTGTGGTGCTGGGTGCTGGTGGCAAAGTCTCTCGGCTTGAAAGGAGAGGAGTGTCCGTTCGCACCTCCTCATCTTCATCATCCTCCTCATCTTCCATGCTGGGCCAAGCTGACTGGTCTTCCACATGCTTCAGACGCTCATTCAGAGCTTTCAACGCCAGTTGCCTGTATGCACAATATGTCGGTACCATATTGGTCATTGGTCAATATTAAAGACTTGTTTTAAATGTACTAAACAATTTATTGAATAAAGTTGAAAATAAAATATAAATATTAGATTAATAACAAATTTAGAAACATTTTTGAAGTACTAAAACAACTAAAAATTAAATAAAAACAAATGAAAGCTAAATAGATAAACTAAAAAATAATAAAAATGACAACAGCATGTGGCAAAATTTCTAAAACAAAGTAAAATAATTGTAGTTTAAATTTTAGTAATTTTGTTACATACTTTTATCTTTATATTTTAAGTTTTCATTTCACTTTAAATTTTTTGGAAACTGAAAACATAAAAATAAAAGCTAATTCAAAATATTAATAAACACTATAATTGCATATCAATAATATTAACGTAACACTGAGCTAAACTTAGTAGAATTTAAAAAATAACCATATTTTTCATATTGTACATTAAAAAGTTGTGATTCCTAAATTCATTTGTAGCATTTAAAACAATTAATTTTAGTTTTTAATTAGAATAAATTAAGGTGGCCGAGAAGTACAAAACAAATCACAATTCTGAAAACAAAATAACAAATTACAAACGCAAATGCAAGTCTAAAAAACAAAATAACAATTCAGAAAACACAACAACAATTTAGAAAACATTATAACAAGTCAGAAAACACAACGACAAATCCGAAAACAAATGAACAAGTCAGAAAACACAACGACAAATCAGACAAACCGGAAGAGGTAGGTATAGTTTGAGACAGCGCCATTGGTTTGGGGTTACGCACCGCTGACTGGACGAGACATCTTTCAATCAACATATACAGGAAGAAGCAGCCGAAGAACAGCAGAGTCGTGGTAGAAAGTTCGGAGATGGTATTAAAGTAACTCAGTTTAAGTGTATTGTATGAACTGCCCTTACTATGAAATAAAAAAATATGGAGTGTCTATTTACATTTAGTTAAAAGTGGCTGTAAAACATCAGCTCTAGTGGCGCAGAAGGATAAGCGCTTGACGTTGCCATTTTGACAAACTTTTTTTTTCTCCCTTTTCAAATCTCGTATCACATCGTAAAGGCATTTATTTTCAATAAAAATTAAGGAAATAATCAAAAAGTTGAAAATAAAGTATCGGGTAGGGTTAGGGTAGGTGTAGGGAGGGCTTTATTGGTGGCATCCATTTAATAATTAAAATGAAAATGATAATTTACACTCAATACATTATTGCATACTGTTTTATAATGTACTACAATACTGAAGTGTAGATAATTGCCACTATTTGCAACAAGTAGTATACTTGATAGTAGAAATCCTGCTATTTTAACAGTGTAAACAGGTATTTGCACTTAGTGTAAATAGCATATTGCTAAAAATACTGCTATTTTCACTAAGTGTAAATAGAATCCATTGCTAATACGAGATTTGAAAAGGGAGGAAAAAAAAGTTCGGCAAAAGGCGGTATCAAACCCGGGTCGATCGCATCAAAAAGCCAACAACACACACTTATCTATCTGCGCCACTGGAGCTGATGATTTACAGCCACTTTTAACTAAATGTAAACAGACACCCTGTATTTTTTATTCCATAGTAAGGGCAACTCATACAACACATTTAAACTGAGCTACTTTAATAGCATCTCCAAACTTTTTACCACGACTCTGCTGTTCTTCGGCTGGTTCTTCCTGTATAACTTACGTTGATTGCCAGATGTCTCGTCCAGTCAGCGGTGAGTAATCCCAAACCAATGGCGCTGTCTCAAACTATACCTACCTCTTCCGGTTTGTCTGATTAGTCGTTGTGGTGTCTGACTTGTTAATTTATTTTCGGATTTGTCGTTGTGTTTTCTGACTTGTTATTTTGTTTTCTAATTTGTCATTGTGTTTTCTGACTTGTTATAATGTTTTCTGAATTGTTGTTGTGCTTTCTGAGTTATTTTGTTTTTTAGTCTTGCATTTGCGTTTGTAATTTGTTATTTTGTTTTCAGAATTGTGATTTGTTTAGCACTTCTCGGCCACCATAATAAATAGTACATAATATGAATATCAACCATACCATGAAAATAAATATCAGCTTATCAGAATTGCTCAGAATTAAATCAACGTACCTCCGTCTTTCTGCGTCTTGTGGGTCTGTGCCTGGTAGGCTGATGGTGATGGAGGACGGAGCCCCGACATCGTATCGCTTCACCATCTTACGGCAAACTTTCATCTTCACAAGGGCAGCATGCACAAGCCCAGCTGCAAAGCCAACTGCCGGCTGGAGCGCCTCTGGGAAGAACGAGGCGAAGGCAAAGTGGTCCGACATGTCTCCACGCCCCCTAGGGTGCCTCTGGTAGAAGCGCAGGTAAACCCACCCGGACAGAGCACTGTACCCGCATGCTGCTAGCGGAGCTGAAGTGTCCAGTAGCCCTGCTAGCCGCAGTACGGCTATTGCTAGCAAGGCTAGTGCCGGGGCGGCTTTCAAGCGTACTTGAGGAACTCGAAGCACTGTGGTATCTCCTGCAGTCTGCTTCAGAGCAACAAGAACACCCCCCAGAAAAGCGGGTGCGCCATACACCCGTACGGCAAACAGGTAGTCCAGGTCAAAGGTCGCAGAATAGGTGAGAAGATAAGACAGTGCAGATAGGAGACCGGCTGCTACATTTACCACGGCGAAGAAGATCAGCAGCTCCAGCGCTCCCCATAATGGCTCCAAAAGCCGTCCGGCAACCATCACAGTAGCAATGTTCACCACCATGCCGAGAATATGCTGCTCCACCACCGCATGGGTCAGAAGCGTCCAAATCCAGAAGTTTGGTGGGAAAAGGAAGCCAGGTGTGACGCCAAGCAGGTAAGGGGTGTTAGCAGCCCAGGAGATCAGGTACAGCAGGATCACTGTGGCACATATGGACTTAACCACTACGCTCGTGCTCGCGAGTGCACTCAGAAAGTGCTGCCGTGCCACTGGCAGGTAACGGTTCATTCTGATGGATTCGAGTCCTCAGTTGTAAACGCTCCAGAAATGGCAAGCCTAAGAAATCAGCAGCTTGTGTCAAATATGAGGGACACAACTAGGAGATGACACCCTGACATCAACATGCAAGCAGTGTGACCTCATCAACAGAGGTTGCAACATAAGCAACTTTGGGATGGTGTCTTAGATGAAGATTGTGGAGAGAAAATGACAGTATTACTTCACACTGGTCTTACAGGTGATTGTGACACTTGTGGTGAGATAAGCAGATCTTAACTGCTCTCAAAAAACTAAAAGCTGTTGGTTTAAATAATATTGTTACCTAGCAAATAATCTGATCTTCCAGTATGCATACAAATGACTTTTAAATATAAAGCTTTAGTCAAGGTAACTTTCTTGCTGAATAAGTAATTGACCTTACTGACAAAACATTATTTTGACTATCTACCTGCTCAGGTCTTTCTGTCTGCGAGTTGTTAATATATAATTCTTCACTTACGCGTTTCTATCAGAATCACCCGAGCTACTCTAACCTTACCTGTTTATCAGCACCGTCTGCTAACACTCCATAAACCTCACCTCCTCGATCTACATGAACACATTTTCATGTCAGTTAGACAGTTTCATGTCTTATATAAGTCTTTTGGTCTTAGTTCAGGCACTTGCCGTTTGTTATATGGGTAAAATACGCGAAGAAAGGCGAGCTATGAACAGCTTTCTCTCCGGTGGCATGTCCTCTCAGACCGGCCTGGAGTCGCAGTTCAGTCCGGGGATTTCCTCTCACAACAGGCCTCCAGGTAGCAGGTTTGAAGCCAGTAAGCGTGAATCCGAGACAAACGTCCCAGCTTGTCTTTTTAATATCCTAACGTCGCCATTTCTTCTGAATTAAGCTTGTGTTTTGTGGTTTGAGAATGTGGCGTTTCCAGCAAACACCCACAAAGCACAAACATCAGATTTGCAAACGTCACCGTCCAGCTTTGCGACTGGGCGTGTCGTTTACGGCATTGACTGCTGGGAAATGAATCCCCCCCCCCTAAAAATATTATTTTTTCTTTTTCTGCTAGTCACAATCTACCACGCAGATTTCGCAACAGGTTCAAGTTGCGAAATCGAAGCTGCTTGGTTTGAAAGTGACTTCTGTGTGAGCGGTGCTTCAACGCTACACAACTGTGAACTTTTGCTAATGAGATCGCATTTTTTTACCATACATTTACTAGTAATTATTATTCATCACCAGTGTTGGGGGTAATATATTACAAGTAATGCGAGTTACGTAATCAGATTACTTTTTTCAAGTAACTAGTAAAGTAACGCATTACTTTATAATTTACAAGAGAATATCTGAGTTACTTTTTCAAATAAGTAACGCCAGTTACTTTTGTTTCCAATTTATTGATTGATAGCTCTCCTGTCCCCATGTTGAGAGAAATCAGAAGATGTTACTGTAGTTCAAAATAAATATGAATATGCATCAATTCATCTCACTCATAAAAAAGATTCCGTATTCCTCAAAATTAATAAAAGTAATGCAACTCAGAATATGACGCAAACCTGCAATAATTAAATGTTAAACAACACAAATATCCTTTATGTATTTAATCCCATTCTATTAACCAATGTCTTTGCTTCTGACCTTCGATGATCCAGTTCAATCATACTAATAAGCACAAATTACTCTAGACAAACATTTGTGTGTTTTTTTATTGCTGAAGTGAGTTGAAATGTCTTCTTCTGCTTTCTACTGTGCGGACGTAAATTTACTTTCCCTTCAGCCTGAGGCTTACTCATTTCACTTTTGGTGTGAAAAGGCTTTTATATATTTGCCAAAAATATAACTTTTTTATTTTAAAAACAAACAAGCAAGCCCTGTCCAGATTTAAAAAGTAACGCAAAAGTAACGTAACGCATTACTTTCCATAAAAAGTAACTAAGTAACGTAATTAGTTACTTTTTTATGGAGTAACGCAATATTGTAATGCATTACTTTTAAAAGTAACTTTCCCCAACACTGTTCATCACACAATATTACTATGTTTTCTTTAACTGATTAAAATAGCAATGTAATTTTTTAACAATGCTATAGCACAAAAGAAAAAAGAAAAGGCTACTAATATCGAATTACCAAATTCTAGTAATTCAATGAATATTACTAATTATTATTGGAGTAAATATTAGTCTCTAATAAGTATTTACAACTGAAATTGAAAACGATACTAATCAATATTGGATAACATAGCTAAAATTTACAATGTAAAAATAGATATTAGTTAGTTTTAAGCAATAATTACCTGTCAAATGACATGACAAATTAAAAGCATTGTCCTATCTAGTCCACTAGGTGGCAGACAAAAGTCATCTCACACTGACTACAGGTGCATCTCAATAAATTAGAATGTAGTGGAAAAGTTTATTTCAGTAATTCAACTCAAATTGTGAAACTCGTTTATTAAATAAATTCAAAGCACACAGACTGAAGTAGTTTATGTCTTTGGTTCTTTTAATTGGGATGATTTTGGCTCACATTTAAAAAAAACCCACCAATTCACTATCTCAACAAATTAGAATACTTCATAAGACCAATAAAAAAAAACATTTTTAGTGAATTGTTGGCCTTCTGGAAAGTATGTTAATTTACTTTGTATTAAACTATGCATAAATACATGATGCTGTTTTGTTTAAAGTTGTTTAAGCAACTTAATTAATTATAATGTTTATAAACATTATTTTAAACATTATGCACTTTTTTTCACAGATAGTCATGTTACCTTATGCTTTGAAGAAACGTGCATTAGTAATATTTTGCTCGATGCGCCCTCTTGTGGCCTCAGGAGAGAATCCAAAAGCTTTTCTTCATAATATTTTGATAATACTTAAGTACAAAATTCGAATTTAGTTTTTCAGCCATTTTGACAGCCCTAGTGACTGTCTTTATGAATGGGCCACTGAATCATTGACTCACTCGATTCATTCAAAAGCGTGGATTCATTCAGTAACAAAACACCACTGTGTTGCTCGGAGACACAACAGTCTGCTGTGGCTTTGATTGGAACTATTTTTGTCAGCGAAATTGAGCAAAAACAGTCAATATTTTGTCTTAAATCTGAAGTCACTTAATTTTAACTTCTTGTTTATTGAATTACTATTGTATAAAATCAGTGTCACATTGCTATCGTGTTGATATTGATATTCGTGGAAACATCCTGGTCGTGTAATGTGCTTACCTAAATCATATTTTATAAATATCTTTTTTTGCATCTATATAACTTTCTGTGAGTGTTCTTGCGCTCATTTGTTTTGATTTCTGCACAGTCTCTCACTCGCTTAGGCTGCGCGAGCCTCATCTGGCACGACATAAATACATTATCAGTCGCCGTTTACACTGAATGCAATTAAAATCAGAATCATTCTCGCGCAAAACGACATGTTTACATGCGGATATGAGCGTAAGTGTGACGTCAAAACGGACCGGCTCAGATTCGGCAGACTGACCGGCCGGTCACCGGTCCGGGCCGATCATGGGGAAAATCGGCTAATTCCGGTCCCAGGGCGGTCGATCGGTGCATCTCCTGAAGTGATCACAAATATCTTTCATTCCGTCAGTCAGAAAAGGTTATGCAGTTATACAGAGGGTGTGACCTCTGTTGTGTAGAACACCATGTACAAAAAGGTCTTGGCTGCTCCTTCACCTGTTCTCACCTGTACATCTGGGGTCTTGTGTACCCGCTGGGATGCTGACAGGTGTTGTTGCACATGTTGTGTACTCACAGGTAGAGCAGACAGTGATATTTAAGCCAGCAAGGATAACATGTTCTCACCTTCTCACACAAAAAACAATTCCTGACGTCTACAAAGATTTAGCTCTTCCACAAATTCAGTATGGTTTTAATTTCAACGGTTTATTGGTTTACTGAAAGCCATCACCAGCTACAAGACCCCATCCCCCAGCACTGAGGCCAATCAACACCTGGCTGAAGACCTCAACGAGTTTTACTGCAGGTTTGAAAAGCAAAAGCCTGGTCTGACACCCCACACCCACTCTGACCGTCTCACAACACAGCCATCAACACCCTCCCCTCCCTCCCCCCTACTGTTTCTCAACCTGCACTGAAGATGATGTATGCAAAGTCTTCAGGAGACAGAAGATAAGGAAAGCCAAAGGCCCAGATGGTGTCTCTCCAGCCTGCCTCAAAGCCTGTGCTGTCCAGCTCTCATCCATCTTCACATTGATCTTCAACAGATCCCTGGAACTTTGTGAAAACCCCTCCTGCTTTAAACGCTCCACCATCATCCCTTTACCCAAGAAACCAAAAATCACAGGACTTAATGACTACAGACCTGTTGCTTTAACATCTGTGGTCATTAAGGCATTTGAGAGACTGGTGTTAGCCTACTTGAAGGACATTACTGGACCCTTGCTGGATCCCCTGCAGTTTGCTTACCGGGCAAACAGGTCTGTGGATGATGAAGTCAAAATGGGACTGCACTACATCCTCCAACATCTGGACAAACCAGGGACTTATGCAAGAATCTTGTTTGGGGACTTCAGCTACGCTTTCAACACCATCATCCCGGACA